TTTCCAACTCACTCAACAAACAACCAGCACAAAATCCTAGCTTCCCTTACCTCGGTGAAGAAATTCCGAGCTTCCGGGAAGGAGAAAAGAGAAGATGAAGCTTGAATGGAGAAGGGAAAGTCCGCGTTCTCAGCTAGCAATCCAAACACCTACTCAGCACCTTCAGAGAGCAAGGAATAGAGGAAAATGAAAATGGAGGCAAGAGAGTGAACAAAACAAAGTGAGAGTGAATGGGGATGAAGTGAGAAAGGAAAGGAGGAGAGGGAGTGGGCTGCGGGGTTTCACAAATATCACTTTATGTTTATATATATTCTTTATATATCATTCACTTATTTGATATGAGACTTTAATTTTAATGAGCAATTGGAAGTTAAAGAAGTATATTTTTTATGTAACATTTTTTTACTCGATGTGAAACTTTAATTTTGAAAACTATTAGAAAAGATAATATTGATATAAAAATGTTACTTTATCCATGGTAAATTTTTTTAGAACAAAACGTTGTAAAATAATCTATTTACTCAATTTATAATAATATTTTAATAAATGTAAGTAAACATTACTAAAGAACTAAAATGTTGTGGCAAGGTCACACCCATAATAGCCTCAGTCATTCAATTTTTCATTGTAAACACATTGAAAGAAATGTATATAAATGCACTACACAAAGAGGAAGTGTTATTCTCTATCATCATTTTTTCTTAAAATAAATTGGTTAAAGATTAATTAATGTTAAGATTTAATTAGTTAGAGTCAAAATCTATTAAGAAGATACCAAAGTTTAACTTAAATCTATTAAAAACTATTAATTATCATTTATTTATGTATCAAGTCTTATAATGTTAGATATAAAAGTTGTATTAAAAAAAATTAATCTTAGATCGATTAAAATTAAGTCGAGATATAAATTATTAAAATAAGAGGCAATTTTTACCTTATAAGTTGGATAAAATATATAAGTCGAGACAACTTTCATCTTATAAATTAATTTTATAAAATTAAGTTAAATCTAAAACTTCACATTATAAGATTAGTAACTACATATTGCACGTGAATAGAGACTATAATGATCATCTTTAACAAAAATAATTTCAAACTTAGTTAATAGTTAAAAAAATAATCTTAAGCTTAAAGACATTAGAAAAAGCTCTTAATTTATTAAATATTTAAATATTCTTTTAATTCTTACAAAATAAATGAGTTTTAATTTTACTCTTGATAATTTTGTTTTTGTCATTATCCTTTAAAAACAAATTATTATTGTAGATTTTTATTATTATATAATGATTGTTAAGACTAACTTATTTAAAAAATATATAAATGTATAATAATATTCATCATATCATATAAGTTGGATAAAATATATAAGTAAAAAACAATTTTTATTTTATAAATCAATTTTAAAAGGTTGAATTAAACATAAAATTATATATTGTAAGATTAGTAACTATATGTTAAACATAGTACATAATTCCAAACTTTGTTAAAAGTTTAAAAATTAATTTTAATGCTTAAATATATTAGACAAATGCTCTTAATTTATTAAATGATAAATATATTTTTAAATCTTATAAAATAAGTAAATTTTAATTTTAATCTTTATAAATTTTTTATATTTTAAAATATAAAATTATCATTTTTATCCTTACTATTATGTAAGAGAGGTCTCTGACAAGGGGTGTTTGGGGGTTCCAGGTTGTGCCTCCCACGTGAAGGGTACTGCCACTGAAGTTTCTCCGTAGTAGAAGATCCTTGAGGAAGAGTTCAGGCTCGACCTTTCCTTCGCCAAAAGCCTTGAGAAGAACCTGTCATCTTTTGTTATTCTGAAAGACATTTTTGATGACTCATTCTCATTCTTCCCATTCTCACTCACCATTTTGGTCGATACACAACACAAGTTTCTGCTTCTCAACAGTGTGTGTGTCTGTCTATGTTAGCTTAAACTCAGATCTATATGCCTCACGAATCAAGATCCGAAAAAATAGTCAAAAGACAAGAAGCATGGACTCTATTTTCCACCACTTTGTATCTAGACTTTGGTCTTTGGATATATATATATATATATATATATATTTTATAACAATGTCATTTGTGCGAAAAATCTATCAACTTCATCAATACTAATTTTTGTCAAGAAATCTGATTGATTACTTATAGTAAGATTTCTTTTTTCAATCAGGTTTTTTTTATCTACAAAACTTAAACATGAGACCTTGCATAAGAAAATCAAATATAGCACTACTTTAACAAATAACTTGTTGGTGTTATCATGTGGGCCTCTTCTAAATTTCTAAAGTAAATATTACATATCTAACTCAAAATAATCATTAATTGAGAAAAAATAATGATTTTAAATTTTAAAAGGATAAAAAAAATATTAATTTTAATAGGACCAAAAACAAAACTCATTCATCGAGTAAAAAATATATTTAAGTTTTTATTAAATTGTGAGTGTTTGATAAAATTAATTATTTAACTAGTTGACGTGAAATAAAAGTTTAATTATTTTTATTAAAGATGATAAATGTTATTTAAAATAAAAATAGAATGTAATATTTAAAACAAATAGTATAATTAATATTAAAGCATAATTTTTTTATGAAGAAAGGAGATTTTTTATTACCTAGAAGAAAAGAAAATAATTATAAGTTATATAGTTGGTGCACTTAACATTTGTGGGTAGAAAACAATGTGATTAGAAAGAAAAATCTTACTAATATATATATATATATATAGTAGAATTCTCTTAAGAGGTTAAGGATATGTTTATTTTATTCTTAAGTTTTGTTGAAAAAAATATTTTAAAATATTAAATAAAAAAATAACATTTTTTTTTATTTTTTCGTTCAACGTAATTTTGTGAGTTTTATAGGAAAATCAAACACACACTAATAATTGATATAATTGGTAATTACTTCCTACTTAAAAAAAACATTAGAAGCTGAAAAGGGTGATTTCATTTATCAAAAATTTATATTTTAATATAAAAAAATAACTTACTTAAATGAATTATAAGCTAATTAATGCATAGTCGTGTTGACAGAGGCCTTCACCATGAACTGTTCCAATTTCAGGAAACCTCTCATGACTCAAAGGATACCTGCAAAAGATTTATATTTACTTCATCAAAAAAAAAAAAAGTAGAGATTTAAATCTTTAACTTGTCATACACAAGATTGTTTTATTGCATTCAATCAACTCCATTAAGTTGAGATGTCCAATGTAATATATATATATATATTGACTAATTATTATAAGACTACAATTTTTTATATAAAAAAAATTAGAGTCTTCATATATAATTTGAAAAAGGAAAAAGTATGTATTAGGTTCCATTTCCATGATACACGTTTACTTAATTATATATTCATGTTAAAATCTTGGATCTAAGCACAAGCAAGTAATTTAATCTTAAAGATTGATCCACGTTACATGTATTTGACACTCGATTTTTATTTTTTTATCCATAAGAGTTAGACTCAGTACTAAAAAATTTGCAATAACTTGTGTTAAATCAACACTCAACTAATTAAACACAAGGTAAAAAGGAAAGAGTTGCATATTTATATATAAAAAAATTTCAAAGACAAATATTTTAATATTTCACACAAACTCTATCCATTAACGTCAACATTCATGTTGATCCATTATCCGCGGGCTCCCCCTGTCGTTCGTGCATCATCCTAATACATCGCATTATCAGCTTTGTGCTTTAGCCTTTAGACACACTAAATAATGCGTATAGATATACAAACAAGTGTTTCACGAAGTCGTTGTAGAGACAAATTTCACTTGAGAAATGAGACCCTAATCGTTGAATTTTTTGACCTATAACGAGGGCTGCGCCTGCGATATTACTATTACTATTTGAGACATTAAATAAATACTAATGGAGCATTGTGCAATTACAAACACAGAAGTGAATGAGTGATGTTTAAGATCCAACTTTAAGAACGTAACATCACAAACACTTGGCACATTACAGAATCCGATATCGTTCACGAACCTTAACACCAACCACCCATTTTTGCGCAAGAGAACAGAATCAAACAACACCCGTTTTCCCTCAGCAACGTTGTTTAGTCAATATGTGCCAATTGCAGGTGTCCCAAATAAATAAAGCCAGTTTTATGTGTCGTGTGTTTCAACTTTTAGGAGACCATGCCACGGGGGCTCAAGTTGCCTTAGTGGGTTCTTGTTTGTGGGACCCTCTAGCTTTATCATTCAACTCTTCTTCTGCTTTGCTTCTGTTCAATTTGCACGGGTATCGGATAACGATTTCCACCACTCTCGGTTGCCATTTGGCATTACCCAATTCAAGATACAACAATACTTTATATTCACATTAATCAAAATTCTATTTTTAGTGTAAATAATTTATACACAACTAGAGTAGATCAATTAATACAAAGTTGTTTTTGCTTGATTATTGGTCTCAAGTTTCAGTTCTAGTCCTAAATATACAACGGTATTAAATACTCTAAGAAAGAATTTTAGTGATTACTTATAATGAAAGTCTGAAAGACGCTTATGATCTATGTATAATTAAAAAAAAAAAAAAAAAAATAGAGTTGTACGACACTATCCAATTATAAAATGTTATGTATGCACACATGGACGATGTTATTTTCTTCTTATATAAATTTATTAGAGATAATATCCCTGGAAAAAAAACGCAAAAGAAACATAGGTAAGCCTTCATAATTCCGTAATGTCATTGATATTGAAGGCCTAAAGGGTACGTGTGAATAATCTCCTCTCTTTTTTTTACTTCTAATGATTGTTGGGTTTTGGAGTTTGGACTAGCTCACATGAGGGTTTCCATTAAGTCCATAATTAGGACGTCATTAATTACGCAGATGAGGATGCATTAGTATTACATGGCATTAACGTTATTGGAGCTACTCTTATGTTTGGCGTTCCCATGTTGGCCCAATCACTCGCTTTCCAAGAATGAAACAAGACATAAATACTCTGGCTTCCTTAGCAGAGATAAAAAATTCAGCAGGCATTAACGTTACTGATGCAACAGGTGATGCTTTTAGATAATGTGATATCTGTTATTTTCTTATTTGTCACTATTTTACTCCACTTTTGCTCCCGCCTTTGATGACTTAGATCGCTTACATAGTTACATGTATAAAAATGGCTTTGGACTGTCAACTGTGCCTAAATAGGAGGCACAAATTGATGTACAATGTTTACAAATCATTATTGTCAAATCATTGCAAGACCAATACTATATATGCTGCAACTATGAAAATCCATTTAATTTCCATTTTTGGCCTTGCTTCATGATGTAAAATCCAGGACAAATTTATTTTTGGTTGGGGGTGCTCTCTACTTACAATTATGATTCTGATCAAAGAATGCTCTTCTTGGCCCTTCAGCAAATTAAATTCGCAGAGATAGCAGAAGATATGTATCAATGTGCAGTGCCGTGGTCAAAATTTGAAGTTGTGCTTCAAGTATACAACCACCTCTTGCTGAAAAAATATTTGGGATCTTCCAATTAGAAAACATGAATTCATGAAATGAGAAACTCGTTTTTGGGGGCATGGATGCTACAGGTACACTAGATTACTTACCACCAAACTAAGCAGAATGCATGATGCTGCCCCCGGAAACAAAGCATACCAGAAATTCAAGTGGTGGAACTTAGCACCATCAATGAAAAGCAATGGCAAGCTAGCGGCTGTACATATCATTGGAATATAACATTAACTAGCCAACATAGTAGCTTAATGACTCCATTCAAAAGATAAGTAACATTGAAGAAAAAGTACCTGGGGGATGAAGGGAGCTGGTGCAAATCATGTAAGCAACTGAAGCCGCGATGCTTGCACTCCTGGCCAGCCATCCAGGTCCGAAAATTGTCAATGCCAAAACACCAATTGCTGCACAACCTACTTGTGCCATGAACATATTGTACTTCTGCATAATCACATGCGAGGGTGATTTAGTTCCCAGGAATTAAGATAATGAGAGAACATTAGAATACATAAACATATGCATAACAATAGCATGGTCATGAGAGAGCATTATTTTTGGCCTTTCAAAGTTTTCTACCAAAACAAGTTATGAATTAGTTTGTCATGCAATTTACTTGAACCATCTGTCACCAGACCGACTCTCTAGTGGTAAAGAAGAGTCTAATCAATTGTTTTGGAATTTGGATTTAAAGTCTTTTTGGATACAAGTTTTTGAGAGCTATCGAGGGATTCTTTGTTGAAAAAATAGAGTTTTTTTTTGTTATTATTTTTTTTTAGAAAAACTCAATTTTCTAATTTGTATCTAAACATACTCTTATAATTAGTCCAAAATTAAAGTTTGTAAGTGTTTATGGCAGTTGAAAAGTGAAGCATTTTACCTAATATTGAACAAAATTTAGACACTCAATTGATGATAATTACTAATTTGAATTGGTTATTTCATAGTTCATACCCGGGCAGAAGGGGCAGTGGGTGTGGCAAAGAGAACAGTAGAAACAGCTCCCATAGGAGCAAATGCAATTGAGAGTCCCTTTGGTGCTACTAACTGATCCACCTTTCCCAATATTGCCATTGCCGCAAATGCCCCTGTTGTTTTTTTTTTTTAATTAAAAGGAAAAACATTTAAATCTCATCAAATTTATATAAATACATACTTATACCTAATATAAGTGCAATAATTAGGAAGATCCTAAAGTGGGTGGTTCCATATAAATTATGAATTCTAATGAAACAAATAAAGAGAGGAGGAAACTAACCAGCTGAGGGCCAAAGAATGTCACTGAGGGAAGGAGTAGAAGGGGCTTTGAGAGGTTTCCAATCATCCCATATGGATGGTGAAGCAACGTTGCTTGATGCCACAATCCAATTTCCTCTTCTCCTTCCTTTAAGTACATATTTATGATTACTATTACTATGTGCCCAATAATCCAACACCAGCTCCTTGCGTTTGTTAAAACACAAGGAAGCAAATGAAGATGATGTTGGCAATGATAATGGGAGCATATAGGTGGTGCCCATGTTGCCACCACAAACAATTCCAGATGACATTTGACTCATTTCTGAACCCTTCAATCTTTGATTGAGCTCTTAAATTCTCAAAGTCCCTCTATCAAATGGGTCACGTTAGGACAGTTGGAAAGTAACGGCCGTTTGAGGGTCGAAACAGGAATAAGCCTTTGAAGAGGGCCAAGGGTCGCACATCAAGAACAACGGAACATGAAAGCCACGTTTTATTTTTCTGTCCTTAATAATACTTTAATTTCAATACTCTAACAACCTATAACTTTTGCATTAAATTTTTAAAACCCACCCTACAAAGTAGAAGACAACCAAACAAGACGAAATCTTATCTCATCCACCACCACTGGTACTCCAACTATCACTTTGTGGACCGATCCTCTCTTACTTGGGTTTTCTCAAATCATGACTATTATTAGCCCAAGTTTGAGATCTTTCATTTTTCTTCTTGGAAATAATTAGTTTTTTTTTTTGTTAATTTTTCATAACATAATGTTGGTATTTTTAATTCCAAAATAAAAGTTCAATACTAAATTAGAATAAATTAAATATAACAGAATAAATTAAAAGTGCAAACAATATAATTTTTTTTCACCATCATTCAATCTCAATAAGCGTTTATTACATTTTAAAAAACTGATACCATGAGATGCTAGTAAGTAGTAAGCTAAGTAAGTGGTGCCGACTTTCAAACAATTTGCATGAGATTTTAAAGACTAGCGCAACTTTCCGAGGCAAGGTTTATTAAAGAAAATTTTGTTCGTTTCAGCAAAACCTCGGTGGCGGTGACATGAATTTATATCCCTACCTATATTATATAATCATACAAAGAGAAAGTTATCATACAAATCAGCTCTGGTCCACTTTATGAGTTACTTAAATTTTAGTAAAATTATTTTTACAAATAATTTTGCTAAAATTTAATCAACCTATAAAATAAAACAGAATTAATATAGTAGTAATGTGGCACAAGAAATTACTTATAAGCAACTCTATTGCAAATGATATTAAAAAGATTAAAAAGATAACATTTTAATAGTAGACCCCACTCCCACTCACAACTGACACATTGGTTTGAGTATATTTTAATTTTTACTTCTTATATTTTAAAATATATAACTTTAGTTTTTATTTTTATTTTTAATCTGTCATTAATTTCTTTTTATAACACTATTTCTTTTGTGTTGATATGATAGATGTCTTTAACATGTTTCTGATGTGAATTTTTTTTCTTCTAAAATTACTCCAAATTAAATTCTAAGTAAATTAAATAAGTTAATGTTACTCACACAAACAATATAAATAAATAAAAAATAACAATAGGAACCAAAATACATCAAAAAAGATAAATATAAAAATTAAAAAGGTCTATTTTAAACTTAATGACTAAAAGAGAAAATAAGTGAAATCGGAAAAAGATATTTTAACCAAAATCAAAACCCAGTTGAAGAAAATCTAAGAGTTGTAACATTTCATAGCTAGAATGGAGGCCATTCCAAATACAAAAACCCACTGCAATATCCAAGTTGTCCCGTTACTTGTTGAAGGGGACAAGAAGTGGTTCGTAAGATAAATGAGAAATCTATTCACAAGGGGTTGGGGTTGTAGCACCTTTGCTACAAAACAATCTACAAAGTGAAAGGAACACACAGAAAAGGTGCAGTGGAACTAGCAATGACATCCAGGATAGCATCATTACTTTTGTCATTTAGTGGTCTGAATGAGACTCATAAAACTCGCTTGGGCAAGGAGACATGACCTCTTGTTCCAACAACTGTAACACCTGGTTCATTGATGGACGATCATCTGCATTTCCATCGGTGCATCTTGCTGCCAGCTCAAGAATCACTTCAAGAGTTCCTGCATCTGCATCATTGCATCTTTTGTCTACCACATCTTCCAATCTGTTTTCTCTCACTAATGTGTTCATCTGCAAATAATTGCACAAAGTTTACTACATTATGTTTGAAAAACTTTCATGTGTTACTAGTGAGTTAAGACTTGAGCTTACCCAACCAACAACATTTAAACCTCTTTTCACAAAGGAAGGATCCGTAGGCCTCTTTCCGGTTACAAGTTCCAGTAACAGAACTCCAAAGCTATATACATCTGACTTCTCAGTTGCTCTCCCACTTTGTAGATACTCTGGTTCACATAACCATCACTCATTCAGTTGTTTCCCTTTAGAAATCCTTTTGATATATTATTGAATTATTAACAATTTAACATGTACTTTTTGACATAGTTATTATTTAGCAAATGTTTCTGCCACTCTTTTAACACATTTATCATAGGGTCATCTGGAACTACCAAGAATGTGACTTCTTTGCACCCAAAGGACCAAAAGAAAGGGTTACGCTGCAAGTATCCAGAAGTGCTAAATACATACCTGGTGCCAAATAACCAAATGTACCAGCAACCACTGTGGTAACATGTGCCTCTTCATCAACCAAAAGCTTTCCAAGACCAAAATCAGAAATATGTGGCTCCATGTTTTCATCAAGGAGGATGTTGCTGGACTTTATGTTACGATGAATAATTTTTGGAATGCATTCATGGTGCAAGTATGCCAAACCCCGGGCAGAACCAAGAGCTATCTTTAGGCGATCAGTCCAATTCAGTCGTCGCCGTTGTTCAGTATTTTCTGAAGAAAGGATTGCTGAACAATTAGAAAATTGCACAACTAAAGGACGAGTTATTATAAATATACAATATACTTATACCTCCTAGTTCCTACCCTTCTAGAATTTTCCCATCAAATTTAAATTTGTATGAAGTTTTGGTTAAATCATAGGTCACATTTTCTTGCACGTTTTGGAACTCTAATTAATGATACAGAAACTTTAAATCACTTATGTTACCTAAAGTGCATGTTTAAAAACAAACATATTTTAAGAAATAATCACTTATTTTTAAAAAGCTCTCTTAGGAAGTTAGAAAAAATAAGCAATTATTTCTCCAGATTAAATTGAACCAAACACATTAAATGTAATTGTTGCTCTTAGTATTCTTGCTCATTGCTTCTAATCACTGATTAATTTAATTCTTGCCACTTGCCAAGCTCAGTTTCACTGTATCCAGCAGCAGGCTTGTGCACTGAAATGATAAAACTTACTGGCTTGAGAGTACACTAAAAGGACAGCCTATGATTCGCATCAAAATTGCATGTTGTAGAATGCTCTAATTTCCAAGAAAGCAGTTATTCATAGTTCAGTGCATATTAAAATGAATCATACCATGCAAGAGATCATCTAAGCTGCCTAAGGCCAAATGATCAAAGATAAGGAGCCTGGACGAAGGAAGCCTGCAGTAACCACGCAGATTTACTAAATTTATGTGCTGGATGCTTCCCAAGATCTCTAGTTCCCTTTCAAACACTTGATCAGAGCCCTCGAAACTTCGATCAATACGTTTAACAGCAAATGTACCACAATCATTCATCAACATTCGGTAAACAGTACCAAATCCTCCTGATCCTACTATATCCTCTTCATCAAGAGACTCCAGCTTCTCTATGATCTCAGATGATGTGTATGGCAGATCACCATGAAAGGTAATAAGTTTTGTGCCTGTTAAAGATTATGTTAGCATTTATAGAAACAGAAGAGATTTTCTTTTCTTTTTTCCTTCTAGTACTAAATAGGAACTTGTTAAGTTTGAAAAACCACTCTTCTTACTTGCTTCTGGATCAACTTGTTTCTTGACTTCTGTGTATCTCTTCGCGGCTCGTTCCTTCTTTGATAACATACGGGTCCAGAGAAATGAAAGAATCATGACAAGTGCAAGACCCGTAGTTGCCATTGCACCAATTAGCACCCACTTCATGTAATGTGAAGTAGACCTTTTGGCAGGGACTGCATATAATGAAATGTTAATGATTGCCATACAAATGTGAATCAAGATTCTTTAATATGTATATAAGCCCAGTAAATCAGATAGCATTTAGAAATCAAATCCAAGGATATGACTTACCAGCAGCTTCATCACTTTCAGCATGTGGCAGCACCACAGGGAAACCAAAGGATGTTCTACATGGCTTTTGGACTTGCCGCCCACAAAGATCTAAATTGCCAATAAACCTATCAACATGCAATGAATTTGTAAATACAAGTACAAATATAATAAAATCAACCTGCTGTGCATAACACATTCATAAACAAAATAACAGATTGATATGGGAAAAACAAGAAAAATCAAAGATTCATGTGGTGTTGAAGAAAAGTGAGTTCTCAATATCAATGTTCAATCAGAGCAACCAGTTGCTATCTGTAATAACAAGAACTAACTCTAAGAGTCAAAAAACTTCAAAAACACAATTCACAACATGTAATTTTGTTTTTCAATTTCCTAACATGCAAGAATTATATAAAAAGTGGCATGTTCAGTAATCAAACATGAGACAACAACTTAAATCTTTGCTCCACATTTTTTACCATTCAAATAATTTACAATTAATCACACACTATTATTTGACTCTAATGATTCAAAAATCACGACAAATATAGTTTTAGCTTGTGAAGATATTAGCTTAGTGTCCTACTATAATGCATAAGAAGTCTGAATCATAATTATAAGAGCAAATACCGTAGTTGTTAGAATTCTAATCCTGTTAGGTCCAGCGGTTATAATGTATCATCACTCCATCAGCTAAACTACAAGGGTTTATAAGGAAAGAGTACATACGCATTCTTGTCAAAGGTGCTTAATACTCCAATATCAGGAATTTCTCCGGAAAAGAAATTGGTAGACAAGTTCCTAAGACAAGGAGGATCAGCATAAACTGAAAGTCGATGTTATCAATACCATGCCACAGAAATTTAGGCTAAATTGACTTACAGAATTTGCAAATGTGAGAGACGGCCAATAGAGGAAGGTATAGCACCTTTTAATGAGTTGCTTGACAAATCCCTGTATATAAACTTTGTATTAAATTAAATTCCTAAATAGTAATTAAAATGCAGCTGAGAAACAATAAAGGAATAGAGAAGAAAATAAAAATAAAATAAAAAAGAGATTGGGAATTACAATATATTCAAGTATGAAAGATTTCCAATATTTGATGGTATGCCTCCTTGGAAATAATTACCCCTCAAGTACCTTTCAATACAGAATCAGATGAGACGTGTCAGTCATTAAGCATGACATAAAAGCAGTGAACATTTAGGGAACTGCTAAATATTTCATTAGGAGTGAACCATTTCACTTACAGCGCCCTTAGCTCAGAACAATTGGTGAGTTCATTAGGAATGGTTCCGTGCAAGCTGTTCTGATGAAGTGCCCTAATTCATTGCAAGCCATTAAATGGAATAAAAGTGACAAAAAGTCATAGATGTAAGTTAATCAATGCTAGGAGGAAACATGTTTTGTCCTTACAATCTCTGTAGTCTACTGAGTTTACCAATGCTGGGAGAAATAATCCCTCCAAGTTGCATGAATGGCAGATTTCTGAAGAGCATAAGACAAACACAAAGTGCAATACTCAGCTGAGAAAGTGGAAAAAAAGTAGGCAATAGAATGAAGAGAATGTGTTGTTTGCATACATTGAGCGAACTCTTTGTTCACCAGGATAACAAGAAATACCAGTCCATGCACAAGGAGACTCATCAAACTCTTGCCAGTTGCTCAGAACATTCTTAGTATCATTCAAAGTGCTTTTGATTTCCAACAACGTTAGACCTAACAGATGAATCAAAATAGCTTAAAGTTTACAACTTTAAACATAAGGAGCAAAGTTGGAGAGAGAGAATAAAATTCCCAAAATTCACAATGTTGAAGCAGAAAAATAAATAAATAAATAAAGGGTTCATAGTTCTAACCATCCTGGGGGAGTGCAAGAGAGGAAGGGATGAGTACTGTCATCAAAACCACCAAGGAAATCCATGGTACATTTCCCATTTTCATTTTCCACAAAGTTTTGAACTTTGAAGTTCAAACTTGAAAGGGTGGAAATGAAACTAGTTAGTAACCGAGAGAAAGTGAGTTTAAAGTGATGATTCAGTAGAAAAAGCGTTGGTAGGGTTGGGAGTGTGATGAGAATGTAGACCCCGGTGTTAGCATGATTTTAATTTTTAACTTTTTTCAAGTTTGAACTCAAAATAACACTGATAATAATTCCAAGAAGAAGGTGAGAGAGTGCTCCAATAGTATATTTTATGAAGAGGGTGAAAAGGGACAAGTATTTTGAAAATGGTGCAGGTTGCAATAGCCGTTGTTCAGAAAGAAATTCAAAAACCAACCTTTTCAACTTCACCTACTCGCGTGAGTAGGTGTATAGGGACACTCGCCAATAAGTAAAAAAGATGTGATACGTAAGAACCAATGGGAAGAGTTGTGAATGGCCACGTCAGCAGGTGATTACACGTGTAGGGTCACAAGAGAAAGTTTTATAGATTTAGTAAGACTAGCGCGTGGTGTACGTCATCGTTCTTGTCTGAGATACTTCAGACATTTAATCTAATTTAATTCTTTTAATGGTAATAACAAGCAGCACTGCATTATTACATTCATTGGCGGGACTTCATGATTTCTATTTTCATGCTTCTTTTGAATTGGTACATGCTTACATTTCATGCAAAAACTAAAATTAATATTAATGATAATAATAATTATGTTATAAAAGGAAGAAAAAGTAGAGAGAACAAACAAGACAATAAGAGATGGTGAGTGTGCCGAGCGCAAATGTGATCTTTATTATATGCTGATATATGCTGAAAAATGTTGATATATGTTGATATTTGCTGAGCTGAGCTGTTATTGATGAATGTTGTTGAGCTGAGTGATGATATTGCTGTGCTGTGAGAGGTTTATGCTGAAATTATGTTGTTTAAGTTGTGTTGTATAAAGTTGAGTTGTGTTGTATGCTGAATGCTAATAATGCTGTTATATTGTGTTGTGCTGCATGCTGATATAAACTGTTGTAGGCCGTAAGGCTGAGCTGTTATAGGAGATCTCCGAGCTGATATACGTGACGACGCATTGTTTGTTTACTGCTGTTTTTGCTAAATGATGTGAGTTGTATCTGTGATGAGTGGTATGCTGATGATTGCTGAACTAGATGGTGTGCAAATAATCTGTAGTTGTTTATAATTGTTGTACTTATATATCTATATATGCTTATTCTTTTCACTAGCTTACCCTTTGTTATTTCCATGTGGTTTGGACTGCAATGATCATACTATGTATGAGAGCAGAGCAGGGATAGGTTAGTGTGTAGATGTAGGTCTGTAGCTGACAGATGCAATGAATGTATTTTGATATTTTGCTGTTTTAGCTACTTAATGTAGCAATTGGGCTGTATTTTGTATATTTGGATTTTTTAAGTCCCAAGCTAGACATATTGTATATACTTTATTTAAATATATGTATGTTCTATTCTGCGTGATGCTGTGTTGTTTGCTGTGTGACGGCCAGGCGGGTCGTTACATAATTGGGCTTATATTAAGCCACATGCTATTGGCTATTATCAAACTACCTACAAATGTCTAATCTTACAAATTTCACACTCAATATGTTTAGTGTTGAGCATGACGGGATACAAGATGACTTAGAGCGCCTATCCTATAGTTAGTGTTGTTGTATTTACCAAGTCACTTGCTATCGGATTGTTATTAAATCACCTACAGATATCCAATCTTACAAACTTCATGTTTAAGATATTTAGTCTTTGATGTGAGGGTTGAGGTGCATTACAAATCTCACATCGACTAATGAGATGTCCATAATAATGTATATAATTGGGAAACAATCATCCTCTTACAAGTTAATTTTGTAAGGTTGATTGAACTCTTAATCCACCTCTTAATAAGATGATATCAAATCCTTTGTAGTTGGACTTATCAAGTTACTTGCCATCAAATCACCTACATATCACTAAAAAAAAAAAAGGCATTTAGCGACCACCTACAAATAGAGATATGTTGAAGATCTTATATCATCCACTAATATGGCCATATATATTAACTTATATAAATAAAGAGTAATAATCACCTTACAAACCAAATTTGTAAGGTTAAATTAGGTTCTAGCCTGCTTTTTAAGACTTCCAACATCTTTAAGATGATAATTGTGTATTTCGTTATATATACTTATAATAACGGACCTACACTAATTTTAGGATAGACAAATTCACTCTTTAATTTTAATTAAATTAGTAACATATGTTTAAAAATTTTGTATTTTGCACCGTTAATTTTATACATTGGATCCATTAATGATTACTTTTAACATTTATGTTTTGTTGATCTTATATATGATGATTATTTTTATTAATTTTTATTTTTTAAAAAAATTGTCCCTACAAACTCGAAGTCTTGGCTCCACAACTGTATACTTATAGACTTTTATCAATTTTTTTTACAATTAAATTGATGAAATTCAAAGAAAACATTATCGTGACTAAACTAGGTCAAATTTAATTCTGAAATAAGTAGAAGTGACTTGGTAAATACAACAACACTAACTATAGGATAGGCGCTCTAAGTCATCTTGTATCCCGTCATGCTCAACACTAAACATATTGAGTGTGAAATTTGTAAGATTAGACATTTGTAGGTAGTTTGATAATAGCCAATAGCATGTGGCTTAATATAAGCCCAATTATGTAACGACCCGCCTGGCCGTCACACAGCAAACAACACAGCATCACAAACTAGTCTTGCTTTGTATCTCACAATTTTACCATTGTCATTTTGTTTTTACACAAAACTCATTTGTATCCAATTGGTCTTACACTTTTTGGTGTACGTAGTACTGGTCCAAAAACTTTTCGCTTAGCAAGCGAGTCTAATTCTGCCTCAATTGCATCTTTCTATTTTGGCCAATCATTTCTTTGTCGACAATCATTCATGGACTTTAATACTTGATCCTCAGTATCATTTATTACATTTAGCGCTATATTATATGCAAACACGTCATCAATATTGACATTATTTCGATTCCATCGTATTCCATTCATTACATAATTTATTGAGATCTCTTCATTTTCAATAATTTCAGGTACCTGAGTTTCTTCTGAAACTGGAATATTAGTTATGTCAGAGAAATATTTTTGAGTTTTTACATCCTCAATTTGGTCATTTTTCTCTTTAGCTCCCTTTTTTATTCGAGGATTCTTATCCTTGAAACCAATTGGTCTACCACGCTTCAGGCGTATTTGTGACTCGTTTGTAGTATTAAATTGTCCAACAGGGACTTCAACTCTTATTGGAGCATTAGCTGCTGGTACATATGACTTAGTCACCCTTTTTGGATCTGTGAATACATTTGGTAATTGGTTGGCTAGATTTTGCAAATGAATTATCTTTTGAACTTCTAGTTCACATTGTTTTGTACGAGGATCAAGATGAGATAGTGATAATTCATTCCAACTAATATCTTTTTCCAACTATTTTTGTTCTCCCCCTAATGTTGGGAAAATCAACTCATTAAAATGGCAATCGGCAAAGCTAGCCGTAAATAAATCGCCTGTTAATGGTTTAAGATATTTTATTATAGATGGGGATTCATACCCAACATATATTCCCAACCTTCTTTGAGGACCCATTTTGGTTCTTTGAGGAGGGGCAATTGGAACATATACAGCACACCCAAAGATTCTCAAATGAGAAATATTAGGTTGCTCACCAAAAACCAACTGTAAAGGAGAGAATTTGTGATAACTTGTTGGCCTGATGCGAATTAATATTGCGGCATGTAAGATTGCATGCCCCCAAGTTGACATTGGAAGTTTTGATCTCATGAGTAATGGTCTTGCAATTAGTTTTAAACGTTTGATAAATGATTCTGCAAGTCCATTTTGTGTATGAACATGTGCTACCGGATGTTCAATATCAATTCCAATGGATATACAATACTCATTAAAAGCATGAGATGTGAATTCACCAGCATTATCCAAACGAATTTTCTTAATTGGATAATCAGGAAAATGAGCTCTTAATCTAATTAGTTGAGCTAATAATCTCGCAAACGCCTGGTTGCGAGTTGATTATAAACAAACATGTGACCATCTTGTTGATGCATCAATTAAAACCATAAAATATCTAAATGGTCCACATGGGGGGTGTATTGGTCCATAAATATCACCTTGTATTCGTTCTAAAAATAAGATAAATTCATGTCCAATTTTTGCTAGTGATGGTCTAATATTAACTTTTCTTGGGAACAAGCGGTACATGATAAAATATTTGATTGAAGAATCTCCCGGCTCTTCAATAAATGTTCGCATGAATTTTCAATTATTTTTCGCATCATGATAGTCCCAGGATGACCCAATCGATCATGCCAAACCTCAAATTTATTTTGATTTGTAAACTTCTGGTTTACAATAATATTTGTTTCAACTGTATTAACATACGTGCAATACAGTCCATAAGAGAAAGCAGGTAATTTTTCTAATACTTCATTTTTCCAATACTCACTTAAACGAATATCCTTGAAACATATAATGCATTTTTAATATGCAACATCGTTTCTTTCAGTAATAATATATTAGCTCTTCCGGAACCTTCAATTATATTTGTAGTATCATATATATATAACATTAATTTCTCGCATTATTGAATATGAGAAGATAAAAATTAATACATTAGAACATTCACTTCAGGGAATGAAAAAATGTTAGTTAAAATGGTCTCTTGCATAAAAAAAAAATTCAATATTTTATTTTAGTCTTCAAGATACAATAAACCAACTAAGGATATTTCTTAATCTTTTTTTTTTTTTAAATATTGCTACTTCTGGAGCAAAATAGATGTATGAAAAATATAGTATATTTTTCAAATCGAGAAATCATTATAAAATTGACATTCTTGTTATGTATCATTAGACATCAATTAAATGTCAAAATCTACACTAATTTTTTTATATCATCTCATGTATATTATCGACAAATAAATGTTTCATACAAAGTTAAATTTTAAAAAATCTCACTAACACTTTATTTTAGGAAATAAATGATACAATACAATCATATATTCATTTGGAAAAAGAAAATCATAACTTGTTTATGTCTTTCTTAAAAAAAAGTGAATCTCTCTCATTATACTTATTAAAAAAAATCATTTAATAAAAATATATTTATGTCATTGTTAGGTTGACTTTAAGGAGAAAA